AGGGCCAGGAGTTCCCTACTGCTAGAGCAGGGGGACATTATCCCCACCCCAGCAGCAGGCAGCCCCCTGTGGCAGGTTGTAATGCCCCAACCCTGGTTAGAAGACAACTGTCTCCTGGCTTGATGTTCCCTGCCAGCCCCTGGACTAGCACCCAGGGGGAGCCTAGAGCTCCCCAGGGTGGCAGCAGGGGCCCATTGCAGGGCCTCAGGAAGCAGTAGCAATTTGGTACCATTATCAGCAAATCTGCTCCCACTTTCTGCATATGTAAACATCTGCCCAGGATCATTTACTCATAAGTGAACTGATCCCAGATCAAATGCATGATGATCCCAGTGATGATGTACGTAGTAAAAAGAATGCAAGTTGATGTTAGAGCTACTAACAATGCAAGCTAAGCCTAAATAATGTTTTAGGCAAGGAATTAATATGAAACATTATGGTATCATAATCCAAACACGCAATGGCTCTCTCTAATCCCTTAGTACTGAAATTATGTAATAATTTACAAGTTTGTTAGTAGTTTATAACCAATAGACAGGAGTAATTTTGTTTGGATAGTAAAAGCTTATATTAACAGATCCAGACATCCTGAAGTTTGAGGTCTGCTGCCTATTATCCACCCAGGGACACTATATGCTTTTTCTGACCAGGAAAGACTTTAATAATATATTTGACAATTAATTCAATGAGTACAAGATGATCTTTAGAGCTCAGGGTTTGTGTACCTGCCTGAGAATATTTCTGTCATTCAAGTCCTCTCTCTTGCCCTGCCCCATCTCATCATCAGAAAGTGAAAGAAATGTAATTTGCTGCTATTTGTTCAGTGTTTCAGGGTAAAAGTGCCCTTCTGAACTCCTGCAGTTATTAGCATGTACCCAGATAGCATGATTTCCTCAACCGATATTATATTAACTTGTATAGCTACAAATGTCATCACTGTTCACTACACATTGCTGCCCTTTTTAAAACGTCCATCTACTATTTTCTATAATTTTTAATTGTATTACAATATGTAGGGTGACTACATGCTGTGGATGTCTAGACCAGAGTGCATGGTTTTGTTCTGGTATAAGTGAAGGGTTTGCTAGTTAATTTGACTTGAAACTAACACTTTTGTAAACGTTACTTTAGAACAGTGGGGCATGTCAAAGTACACTCTACCCTCTGAGTGCCATTCTGACCCCCTGCCTGATCTGTTGCTCTGCTCTCCCCTCCTTACCTTAGTGTTGTTCTCTCTGTTCCCTGCCAGATCTGTCACATGCCACACAAAGCACTTGCATGTACCATTTGTGATATGCATGCCCTGGCTTGGGTATCCCAGTTTAGGAGGTTCAAAAAGATTTTGTCCGGAACACAAAGATCGTATCTGTACCTGGACAAAAGGCTGTGTTCTTAATACATGTTCAAATCCTAGTTTGGATAAAAGTGGTTTAGTTTTAGCTGGTATTACTTGGTGGAGGTAAATCCTAGGGAGGAGACCAAAGTTTATGTTATTAATATATATATTAAAATATAATCAAAAGCTAGCAGCTGTCTCAACTATGGAAGAGGCTGGCACCGCTGCTGCCAGTCTCCATGGAAACCCCAGCCCCATGCTATCGAAGCAGCTACACTGTGGTCTTCATGGAAAGCACCCCTAGCCAAGCAGGCAGGGGCTGCTGGGAAATGTAGTCCACTGCTGGCCAGATCCAGCCCATGGGTCAGACTTTGCACACTCCTGGATTAAGACTTAATGCCATCTCTGACTTCCACAACTGTGACTTGCCATTAGAGGGCCCAGTGATCAAGGCCAACAGCCAAGACTCTCCTCTGGCAGTGGATCTCCCAGGGTTGAGCTTGGTGAGGGCATGGAGCACAAGGAAGCATGCCTCCCTGGGCACCATGGTCTCCCACTGGCTTCCAGCACAGACACCAGGGGTTAACTAGTGACATCATTGACCCCCAGAGAAACACGCCTACCTGGTTTCTGTGCTTTCATCATATTTGGCATTAGGCAGTAGGGCTGTGCGAAGCTTTGGGTGGCAATTTGATTCAGAGGGGATTTGGCGGTCAAATCTCTGAATCAAATCAGGGGACCAATTAATAGGTCCGAATCGATTCAAAGCTCTCTGAATCTTCAGAAAAGATTTGGAGAGCTTTGATGATTCGGACAGTCCCCAGTGGCTGCAGCCAGACTCGGAGCTGGTAAGTACTAGGGGCGGTGGGGCGGATGACCATGAGGGGACTCCCCCCCATTCCATGGCTGCCCTGCCCACCTCAGTTCCCAATGCTTTAATAAAAAAAATAAAAAGCTCCACTCACCAGGTGCTGTTGCACGGGGGGACAACCCCCACTGTCCTCTGCTGCATGGGGGGCTGTGCATAAGCCCCCCTGACACCCCCATTGTTACCTCAGCCCCCCCATACATACCCCACTTGGGCCAGCTCTGGCCCTTTAAGAAAAAAAACTGCAGCACTCACCACTCCTGCAGTGACCTCAGGGAGCTTATGAAGAGCCCCAAATTCTGTCCCCCCAAATCAGAATCCAAAGTGAATACTAGCTGCTTTGCACAGGCCTATTAGGCAGCCCTTTCCCCCCTTCTCTCCATCCCCAGGAATGCAGGAGGTTGGGGAAGGAACTGGGGCCAGGAACGTGACTTTTCCCCTAGAGAGCTAAGCCTTCGCCTTGCATCTGGACAGCTCTCCCCTAGCCCTCCTGCAAATTCATCTGGCTAGCAGAGAGCTGCCCAGATGCCAGACAAAGGCTTAGCCCTCTGAAGGGAAGTTCATATGCCTGATCAAGGGCCTGGATCAAGCCTTCTGGCATCCTTGGACCTGCCATTTGGGGTGGGGTTATACCTACTGAAGTGGATGGGGTGTTGGATTGAGATCAGTACCACCCCCTGAGCAGTAGAGTTTGGGAGAGTGAAAAGTATGTCATGCGTAGAGGGGCTGGGAGCTGTGCATCCCGGGAAGCTGAATGACTGAGAATTGGTTCCTTTATGTTTATGAAGCAAACAAACAATACCCTAACTTGATAGAAGGGACCAAAGATAACCCACACCCAAAGTTGTGCACCTTGAAGGCACTTAGCACAGTTTAACACCCTTTAATATGTGGGTGCTCCTGTTTTAAGTGCCTTTAGAAGAATGATTAAAGGTAACTTGTAACACCACCCTAAGGGCTCCTGCTAGCATGACTACTTGTTTCAGGGATCATGTGAGGTATAAAGGTAACTGTTCTGTCAGAACTTTGTGGTGTAAACATACATGTGCACACACTAGGGCTATGTTGAGAACCCCTTTGTGAAACTCTTCAACACTTCTTAGATTAGAAAGTAAGGGATACATGGCAAACATGTTAATGAACACATTTTTAAACAGCACTTGGCACTCAGCCAAGGTGATACACTAGGTGTTAAGTGGCATTTAATAGCATGTTAATCAAGATATATTAGCTAATCCTTTAGCTAAACATACCAATGGCTCCTAGTCTACACAGATCCTTTTTAGATGCATACTTCCCTTTCAGTTGCAGAAGCCCATAGTTTTCTTTGCTTACACACAAAGGTAGTACCACTTCAAATGTTCTGCTACGGTTAAAGCATTACAACTCTATGAATGCATTCTTTTCTATTAGTATAAAAGTGCTTATATTCATAGTGCCAATTGCAAAAGAGGAAGTGAAATAGGCTATACTGCTAGGAGGCATCTTTCTCCGATAAAACTGTACCCACACTAGGGGTTATTTCAGCATAACTATAAATAGTAAAAACCACATCTCTAACCATTAAGTGAGAACTACTGGCTGGGTCACTTGAAAGCAGTAATCCATGGCAGCTAGACACACCAGTAAGTCATGTCCAGATGAGCGCACATGTGCAGTTTGCAGCAGTACTGACCTATCTGTGGTGCCACAAACCACACATGCTGAACATATAGGCATTCAACACACTGCTAATTTGCAGCATAGCCGGATTTTTTGACACCAGGAGAACCTACTTTCAAAAAAAAATCTGTGGCAGAAAAAAGCAGGGTGGTGCATAGGGCAGCAACATGCACCACCTGGAACTTGAGCCTGGGGATCCAGAGCCATGCTTTGGCTGCTGGTCAGGCTCTGTGCATCCACATCTCTGCCACTGGAGCCCCAGGAGGCACCTGGGACCCCAGGTGCTGGCCCCAGCCTCCCCTACCACAACCAGAGCATTTCCCACCCCCACCCCTCCGCCTGTTAACCCCACATGTGGGTGCACATGCCAGGGCCAGAAGCAGCTGCACAAATTTGTGTCTGCTTTTTTTCCTGCAGTAACCGCACACCCCTGCTTTTGGGGACATGGCCACAGTGAGGTAAATGTTTTACAGACATGTATAACAAAAATGTATAACAAGCTAGGAAGAAAGATGAAAGCCCTGGTCTCACTCAGTTCTTTAATTATTATTTTAATAATTCAATTCAATTTTCATAGTTAGACCTACCTGATTAACAAGCATCTCACCATCCTATTCCCAATTTTCTTTTTGATCATCCTTGGCATCTCCTTAATAGCATTTTTTGTACCTGACTAGTCAATAAAGAAAATAAATGTTTCCTTTCCTCTGAAATAGCTTTAAAGTTTAACTTGGATACAACAAAATCTGTATCAGCTTTAATCCACAGAAAGGAAATTTAAACCGTGATGCCTGATACGACTCACCTGTGCTAAATCTAAAGCAATGGAACCCTGCTAGTGAAACAGGACAGGAATTTTTCCTACTTAACTCATTCTTCCTCCAAGTCAGAAATATGGTGAAATTAAAAAACAAAATATCTCTGGAGTACCGTGGAGCAAGAGTTGGAAGAGATACATCGTCTAATTGAGACTTGTTCAGAGTTAAGGCCAAACAAAACATTCAGATAAAAAGTTGAGTCTCCTTGAAAACTAGAAGTTAAAGACATTCTTTTTTGAGGAAGATAAAATGGTGTTTGTTCTTTAAGCATTTTATTGCTTATTATTTTACATTCTTTATCTACCTCGCAGGACCTGGTGGCTACAATTTGGGGGAGAGAAGAGGACAGTGTCTAATGCTCAGGGGTACCAAGCATCAAATAAAAGCTCACACTAAAAAAAAAAAATCAACAAGGTAAGCTGACTGCAGGAGAGGCTAAGGGAACTCTTCATATCACACCACATGCAGGACCAAACATAGTAATTACACCGCACAAATGGATTGCATGGCAGTGCGGTTTAGAGGATAGGGCACTAGATTAGAGGCTAGGCTCTCCCACCTGACTAGAACAGATAACCTCACCATTGTTTGTCTTTATCCATGCATCTTATAAATGCTTCAGGGCAGCTATTATTTCTTCATATGTCTTAAAACCTCACTGCAAAAGGTGGTATAAAGTCAAGCTGTGGCATCTCAGTGCAACCCTAATAAATAATATATCATAACAACTTGGTGGCTGGTGTTCAGTCCTTTTGTATTTTGTGCAAGAGCCAGCTGAAGCAGATTCAAATGGAATATACAGTAGACTAGGGCTCAGTAGTACAACAAGCAAAGAAGATTACATTTGTGTGTCCACAGCTGCAAGAATTTTAGCAGGAATGGTCAGACATTAATGCCTAGTTTAAAGATAGTTATTATTCAACTGTACACTCCAAAACCAAAAATACGGAAGTGAAACCCTTCAGGTAAAGTTCTGCTGGCTTCAGTAAGTGCTTCCATTAACAGAAATTATTGTCTTCCTGTAAGGATCATTACTACTCTTGATATTATTGGGACAGTGCCTAGAAACTCCAAACAAGGGTCAGGGGCTAGGCACAGTACAAGGATACATAAATAGTATCTCTGTCTCAGGGAATTCCCACTCTAGGAGATAGGTGAATAAACAGGCTAACGGGATGGAAGAAAGACAAGGTAACAGTAGAGGGCTGCATAATTAGTAGTCAGTGGTTACAGTCACAGCTGGCTGCTACCGATAGCCAATAGCAAGTAGGATCAGGCCTTAACTGTCCCATTATACAAAGGACTTCAATTACATCTTCCATTGATCCCTATATCCAGCGTAAGTTGTAATTTCCCCTCCAATAAGTTTTTGCAAACTCTGCTCTACAAATTAGGCACTTCATGAAAGACAGATGTGTAAATATATTCTACGAATATGGTGTATTATGATTTACATTGGTTTGTTTGTTAAAGCTTTTAAGGGGGTTATTGCTTCAATTTATGCTACCACCATCTACTTTTTTCAGTTTGTAGCTGCTATAGACAGAGGAGCTATTCCCTGGTTCCTCTTATAGTTAAAATATAGCACAATTTTGAGGACAGATCATATTTATTCTTCAGACTCTCTTTATGTATTCTCTTTAATGCTAAATGATAGCTCACAAGGGTCATTGAAACAAATTAATTTATATTTTTATCAACAAAGTCTAAGGAAAAATTAAAATAATTAAAAAACCTAGTATCACTAGACACACATGAAGACACAAAACCATAAAAACAGAGGATGCAAATGAAACATTAGCTGTGTGAGACTACGCTAATGCTATCCAAGTAATAGCAAAGGGGCAAACAGCATAATTCCAAGCTTCAGACAACAATAGGTCCCAGCAAGGAGATAAGGGAGCATGAAGTACTGTTTGCTTTCCTGTGTGGATGACCTATATTATGGATATTATAAGAGGATAAGGAAGAACAGACTGTTACCCTCAACTTCTACTGAAAGGAAGAAGATGGGGGACGGGGACAGGAAGGCATTTAAACTTTTTGGCTCTGCTTGGTCAATGCTCCACCAAGTACAATCTCAGCTCATAGAAGGGAGAAAGCAATTTGCAACAGAGGGTCTGTCTTAGATTAGTGACCCCTTTGCACAGCATAGGAGGTAGAAATCAAGTTGTAATACAGTCTTTTCTCAGTTCTGGGCATACCCAAGTCAGGAATAAAAGCATCTGCAGATACAAAGTGCTGAGTGTTCACTGAAGAGGTAAAAGGATTTGACATAGCTTTCAAATGAGAGGATCTTCTTTCAGGATTAGGACAGAAGGCCACAGAGTATTGATGGGATATTTAGAGGAGCCGTTAAAAACTGTTTTTGTGGGAATGCAAGGCAAACAAGAGACAAATTTGTGGCAACAGCAGGCTCTGGATCTGAAGTTATTAGAAGGGCTCTAATTCATTCTGGTGGGTTTTGGATCAGACCAGTGGGAGAAGGCCCTGGATAAAACAGACATGAAACCAACCTCTACCACATTAATTCTTTCCTGTATACCTGGTTTTAGAGAAAAAACTAGGGCTACTTCCTAGGGCATCAGGGGGCCTCACTAAATTAAGCTGATACGTATCATCCAATGAGTGGGTAAAAATAGCTCATGCCTTAGACTCTGTATTACTTCCCTACGAGTCTAACACACTTCTGCCTGTACCTCTTTTGAACAGAGGCTCAAAAGGTGTAAGCACATATTCTTTTATCATTATATGTCCATTAATGTCCCCCTCACATGATCCTCTCCAGCTTTTCATGTCACCCATCCTGCCTACCATCATACTGTGATACAAGTTTAACCCATAAGCTCTTTCTAATATGGTACTTTGAAATTTCTTCACCGATGTCTCTCCCTATACCTACCGCACAAAATGCGTTTATACAGAAAACTCATTTAACCAGTCACTCCTACCACTCCATAGTGTTTGAAAACCAGCCCTCATGAATTAGAATTATTAAAACTGAAGTAAGCTTTAGCTCAAATGGTCAAAAAGTATTAAATAACTTCCTCCTTTTCCTGGAAAAATAAGCTCTTGTGCTTTTCAGCTAATTCTTCTCCCTTTGATTGCTTCTCCAATTTCTTCCCTGATTACACATTTTCAGATCAATTAAACTCCTTGTGGTAATCCTGTTTCTGTCATCTAACAATATTGCTTCAGGAGAACAGAAATAGAATTCCCAAGCAACCTTAATTGTTAATTATGATGTCACTCTGAGCAACTTATACATAGACCCAGTCTCTCAAAAACCCACACAGCACAAGCTTAAAACTAAAACACCATGATAGTATAAAATGAGCAGTTATAGTAGCAGTAAATCATAGCCTTATTGTATTTGGCCAATTCTCCTGAATTCAAAGCAACTTTGATCTTTATGCTTCAAACTGCGTTCATCCGTAAAAAGCTACTCTGCGCCAAAAAAAAAAATCTTGTCTTGAAATGAGGGTATGCATCTGTTAGTAAAGAAATCAATATTCTATCATTATGCTTTTTGCATCAATCAGAATATTCCAAAAGGATATACAGGCACATAAAATCCAAGAACTCATGAATTTAACCACTGTATGGCTTACTGAATTGTATATGCTTGTCAGTTCAATAGTCATGATGGACAGCAAAGATGAGCATTTTAAAACACCAGTGATCAAAAGCATAAAGCTAAGCAAAGGCTTTTCGCTTTTCTTGTCATTCAATCGAGTTGCCCCAGGTATCTAACTAGATTTTGTTGTGTTTTTTTTAAACTGGAAAAAGCAATAGTCAAGCATGCTAAACCAAGCTTAATCAGCTAGCTTCAGCCTAGAGAAAGCCATCATCCTGGATGCTGCAGCGTGCACAACTCTGGGCCTATACACTGTCATATACTGAGAGAATGAGGAAGGGGGATATACTCTGCATATCCATTATTCAAAAGGCTTCTACTGGATTCAATGGATTTTGAGTCCTAAAAAACTATCACTGTGGCATGGACTACCAAGGAACAGGGAGAATCAACTGGCTAAGAAATTTGGGTAAAAAAAACCAAAACACACAAAAAAAAACAAACAAACCAAAAACAAAAAAAGGTCAGATAAGTGTGTTTTCAGGCTGAGCTCCTGGAACAGTCCGTCTGTCTGCTCATCCTCCAAAGGCCTCCTGAGACTATGTTGCTGAGCAAAAGGAGGGGTTTGGGTATGATTTTCACCACAATTTTTTCCCACTCCTGTCAGCTGTTTTACATACTCACAGATCTTTCTTATTAAACTACCCCTTTTAGCATGAATGGGATCTTCTTTCCAATAAAACACAATTTGTAATAAAGGTCCACAAACAGGTTGTTGCTTCATCTTAGACTGCCTTGGGATGTCCAAATGGTACTTATGCACAAGAGAAACAACTTTCCTTTTGAGCATGCCTCCTGACAAGAGAGTTACGATCCTTCTTCAGCATGGACCATGCCACATCATTGGCGACGTGTCCGGGGGGGCGAGGAAGGGGGGCATGCCCTCCCCATATTTCTGCACCCAGCGGCAGCATGGAATTGGACCCTCCACACACACCCCCAGCAGCACTTATGCATTGCCTGTGTCACAGATATCTGATACCAATATTAAATTCCCATAAGGCCATTAGAACTATACCCCAAGGCTATTCAGAAACAAAACTGACTGATGAATATAGCAGAATCCTCATAATGAGGCATTTAATATTGAGAGCAAATAAGCAGTTCTACATGCCTGTGGAATTCAAGGTCTGTATTGATCTCATCTACATGACTTAAATAGTTTGAGACATACCTATGGGCCAAGCTACACCATGTCACAACCTGATAGGGAATGCCACTAAAAATGTGCCCTACTGACTCATTGCTGATTTCACACACTGAATACTGAAAAAATACGAGTTGTTCAACTTGTGCTCAGGGCCACTCTCAGGATTGTAGTTCCAGTTAGGTTGCTTGACATCACTGAGTGTGCCCAGTTCCACATTAAGGGCAGCCGCAGAACATTTTGACATGTGCTGTGCACAGGGAGAGCAAGTGGGGATCCCTAGCATGCTCTGGAACAATACAGACACTTTCCCACCCCCACCCAAGTGATCATCTCTCTCCACATGCCATATTTTTATAGCAAGTGGCACAGGACTAGGAGATTCCACATGTTTCTGATCTAAGTTTTCTAGGCCTCAACCCAGTACAGTATTTATGCATGGCACTTACTTTTAGACATCTGTCCAAACCCTGTTATTTTTAAATGAGACATAAAAATGTGCTTATATGCTTTGCTAAACTGGGACCTCAGAACTCAAAAGGGAAATGACACTTGAAACACATTGCTCTATTTTTTTTTTTTTTATTATTACTACTAAATAGGACCACTACTTCACTTTTCCTACAGTCC